GGCAGCCGTGGGGGGCGGGGGTGGTGATGTTCACTGTAAGGAAATCAGCTGTGAAAAGCTCTTTGAAAAAAGTCAACTTTTGGGAAAGTTCCTGTTGGTGCAGAAGTTACTCCATACTTTGTCTTGCACAGACCCAGAGGTATTTCCTCATTCTCTAATCAGTATCTCTTGAAGGTAAAAATGGAAAAAAACCTTAGAGGAAATGCTTGTTTAGAAAAGTGTTAGAATGATGATGGTTAACAGCTATAAGGATTAATCCTATGCAACCAGAATATTTCTAGCCCAACTATTTCTCACACAGCCTTTTCCAGGTTATGTAGACCAACACCCCCACAGCTCCATGCACAGTTCAAATAATACAGATTTTTTGTCAATAAATTGGGTTACAAAACCTTGGTTAATCTCAGAGTTCTGCATAGCAATCCAGGACAGAAGAGAGAGAGCCCTTCACAGGTGAGATTTTCCTGAAAACATTCACACCATGGTGGGCTCTCTGCTGTCTGCTGGGGAAAGCCCCTAGCTGTGGCCCAGGACTAACACAAGTCTCAGCAAATTTTAGAAACTGTGTTTCTTTAACTCTCTCAATTTAAATTAATTCAAATTAGATAGAATGATTACCAAACCTGAAAGTTCCTGGGTGGAAGGTTCATGCAGTTAAGAGATGGAGAGTCAGGCAAAGTTTCTGACGGGAAGGAACTTTATCACCATGCTTCTGGGTAAGGATCACTGACCCCCACAGGAGTCCAAGAAGTTGCACCCACTGGGTAACTCGGGTAAGCTTTTATAGAGCACGGAAGGGCTTTTCAGGAACTGATTCGTCAACAACACTCATCAGTTCCTGGAATGCAGACAGTTCCCAGAACTCAGGCGGCTGGAGGTTAGGCTCCTGGTCTGCAGACAGCAACAGCCCCAAATCCAAGGTCCCTATGGGGTATTGCCTGGACCACCTCGACCTTACACTGGAAAAATCTTATGTGGACATTTCATTCCAGGAGCTTTTAGAAAAACTAAGGGCAATAGCTAAGGGCAAAGCATATTTGGTGAACAAATCTTAGACATAGTCAGTGTATTTAGAATACATTTACAAAGAATACATTCTATACTGCCTCCTTCTTCAAAGAAGGTGAAGATTTCCCTCTTAAGACCCTCAATTTCTACCCTCAATTTCTTCACTGTCCTAGCTCTTCCCTCCTCTACTCCCCATTCCACATAGCCCTCCAAAACTCCCCCCTTCCTTTCTGCCCTCTCCTCCAATTTCTCCTGCTGTCTCCCAGTTTCCCACTTCCTATTCTCTGCTCCCTCCACCTACCTAGCCACTGCCTCTTCCCCCCACCCCCATCTCTGCCCCATTTCCCCTCACCAACCACCCTCTCTCTCTGCTCCACATCCACCTCCTCCCCTCTCCCTCTGCCCCCCCAGTTCCTCAGTAGCCCCCCTCCAACACCGGGCTGGGGGGCTGGGTGCAGCAACTCGAAGTTCGTTCCCTTGCTCCAGCAGATGCTCCTCTCTGTCCCAGCAGCAGCAATGATGGGGCAGAGAAGAACGAAACCTTTCTTTAAACATGATTTAAAGATCAAATTAAAACCAGCCGCTAACACTTTGTTGATATATTCATATAAGCCCTTAAGGCCAAATATCCAGCAAGGATATGAGAGCAACTTGAGAGCAAGAGGTGAATCTGTCCGTGAAATGAGACTTGCACGGAAGGAGGCTGGTGAAGGGCTGTTTGCCTGGCTCCCTGGCTCCAGAGACTCCATGCCCGTCTCTCCTCTGATGTGCAGGCTCCGGCCTCAGGGACCCTGTGAGCTCCACAGACTACATCCCAACGCCCTGCCTAGCCCCACGCCTCATGTCTCACTTGAAACCTAACCAACTCCAAAGAGCTGCCACCAGGGCCATCTCTTTGGAAGTGTTTCCACGTTCTTCCACTCTATTTCACATCACTCCTCCAGTCTCCAGCCAGGTTGAACCCAGGCTCATGAACAGGTCATCTGGCTCCCAGTCCAGGGCTTCTCCCACTCTATGGCCAGGAGAGCATGGGAGGACACCAGACTGAACACATGTGAACTCTAGTCACGGACTGTCCACTACTCACTAGCAGTGAGGGTGCCTGACCTCTGGAAACCTCAATTTTCATTTGTAAAATGGGCTCATCATCCTCTCGGCCATGTACAAGTACTATAGATTTTTTTTTAAGATTTTATTTATTTATTCATATAGAACTGGGGTACAGGCCAGAGATGCGGAGGGTGAGAGGCTTCACCAGAGACAGAGTGGGGAGCAGAACA